GTGAATCCTTGGATCATATCCTTTTGCATTGTCTTGTGGCGTATGATTGTTGGAGCTTTATTTTTTGCATGTTTGGCCTTTTTTGGGTAATGCCTAAGCACTCCTCACAATTGATTAACGCTTGGAGAAGGTGTCCTGTTAAAGAACAAGCTCGTGATTATTGGAAGATTGTTCCACTTTGTGTCTGGTAGTGTTTGTGGCGTGAGAGAAATAACAGATCCTTTGAAGGAAAAGAATCGTCTTTAGCTAATTTAAAAATTCATATTCTTCGTTCTTTGTTCTGTTATGTAAGAGGAAATGCATGCTCCTCGATTGATGATTTCTTTGATCTCTTGGATTCTATTGGTTCTTAAATCTTTTTTCTTCTTGTATTAGGGACGCGTTCCCCTTTTGAACGTTTTTCTAATATATTTTTACTTATCAAAGAAAAAAAAACAATAACAATTGTTTTTAAACCAAAATTTTTAATTAATTTTTCATGACCAACATATTATTAAAAATGTTCAAAGAAGTCATCATATTTACACTAACCCCACCTTCTTTTAAAAATTCTTAAAACTCCCTAACAATGCAATATGCGTGTCGGACACATGCTCATGGCATGTTCACTTGTTGTGTTGTGTCCACAGCGTGATCAGAAAAAAAAAAAAACCGTATGGCCATGTCTGACATGTGTCGGCCTCCGACAAAAATTCTTTGACCTTTAGGTGAGTCCGTAATTCTTAGATTCTGAATATAAAGTTGAAGATATCGATCACAAATGGGTATCATAAAGACACACACTTATCTAAAAAGTGAATAGTTTAAGAATGAAAGCTTCAGTAATAGAGTTCAGAAAGAAGTCAACCCTATTAAACATTTCACAATCAACACGAGTGATCCTAACCAAACATAACCTATTTACACTACCACTAGTGAGACAGATTCTAACGCATAACTTCGAACTGTTTTTGAACCTGATTTTTAAAAGCTCAAGCACTTAAGGCTGTCAATCACTTAAATATAAAAGAGCAAAAGTCCACAGGGAAGTCAGAAGAATTAGCAATTTGTTGTCTACTATCATCACTGCTTATTACCGAAACCATGCATGACTATCTCCATTACCTGAATCATCACTTCGAACCCACAAATAGCATGCTAATGTAACTTCAAGGCGATGTTAGTCGAGATGTCTCTATTTTAATTCACATACTGCTTCACTAAAAACCTTTGATTGACATCAATAATTTACTTTTCTACAATTTTTTAGTATTGCGATTGCAAGTTTCTAAAATTGCTTCTCCCAAATAAAGTTCAAGAAAATGTCTTCTGGTGTAATTTTAAGTAAGTATCCTGTTAGGTTAATAGGACTTAGGTTGGCATATTTTGCTATCAAAACAAGAGTGTAATTTTTACTTTTCGTTATAGTTAGATTTTTGAAAGTTGGTGTCAAGTTAGATACCTCTTGCCCAAGAAGAGAATTGAGAATAAAGCTACAGCAAAAAGCAAAATGGTAAATCTTCAATGCCAAGGGTGCAAAGGTAATTTGACACATGTATATGCACTCACCAAATCAGGGTTCATGCATTCATCCATATCAATTAGGACTTCAATAAATTCATGCTATGATTTGGAAAATCCATTTTGATATGCATTATAACTTTATAAGTTTTTGAAAACTTTTTTATTTGAAAATTTCTAAGCAAAGCTGTATAGGGCACTTTGATTATTCGACAAATCAATTGAAGGCTATTGAATACATGTCGATCAATGACATGGGAACTCAATAAATCGAACAATTTGGAAACAAAGTTTCCTTTTGTGATTAAAACACTAAAACCCTAATCTCTTTACTACTATAATTAATTTATATATGCCTCATTACTTAAAAAAGCAAAGAGATACAGACAATACAATAGAGAGCAATATATTATGTGAGGTTATTTTTGAGCGCATATAATTTTATTTTTCATTCAATCATCCTACATATAAATTGGTGAGTGCTTATTCATGTGTTGACAATATATTCCTGCTAAGATGAATTGAAGTTCAACATGAACAACCTATTCATATGAGATTGGTCTGGACGACTGGTCCAAAGATTAAAAAGCTACTGAAGAAGCAGATTGTGGAATCTGTTGACAGAGCAAACTGTGTCCGAAGATTCTGATAGTCTGAATTTGGTGGATTAGTCTGTTTCAAGTGGTAACTAGAGCTTTTTTGTTTTTGAACTGTAAACCTAATTTAATATGTATAGTGGATTTTATTTGGCTGCTGTAGGTCCCATGTTTTTTCCCTTTGGGGTTTCAACGTAAAAATCTGTGTGTCCATTTTGCATGCACTTTATTGCTTTACTTTATATATGATTGATGTGATATGTTCATGGCATGATGGATTGATAGTTTTTTAGTTTATTGTTCTAATTATGTTCAAATTATTGGTAATTTATTTAAATGTGAAAAGTAGTTATAGTTAGTTAAAACAGCCTACAAGACCTATTCAGTCTTCCTTTAATCTAGATTACTGGCCTCGTGCTAACTGTCTAACAGAGGCTAGAGTTTAGGTCCTCATTCTATCAATTGGTATCAGAGCAAGTTGCTCAACTTTAGTGTGTAGATCATGGTCGGGTTTAAGGAAGGTGGTTCCATATCTAGACCTATACAGTTTGATGGATCAAAATAAAGTTATCAGAAAGCATGTATGAGAGCTTTTCTTAAATCTATGGATGAAAAGGTCTGGTTAGCTGAAAAGGATAGCTGGACACGATATTCTAAAGATGGAATCTCAAAGCCTAGTATGAACTGGTCAAAAGATGAAATTGATGAGGCCAATTATAATTCTAGAGCATAAAATGCACTCTTCACAGTCACTCCTACTGAGTTCTCTTCTCTAAGATAAAAAAAACTGCATTTAGGGAAGGAAACTTGGGGAATTCTTGAAAAAGTACATGGATGGACTACTCTTGCTAAGATCTCTAAGCTTCAGATGCTAACTACTAAATTTGAAAATCTTAAAATGGAAGATGGTGAGACTTTAATGAATTCTATGCTAACTTGAATGATATAGTTAGTAGCAGAAATGTACTAGGAGAAAAGATCCCAGAAAATAAAGTTGTTAATGAAGGATTTTTTATGAAGGCCTACTCACCGAAGGACTTTTGATATTAGGAAGCTCCAGACACACTGCCTAAATCAGCAGAGAAGACCTATTCACCCCCCTTTAGACCTCGCTGTCACAAAGTAATTCCTAAGACGCTTGGAGGATGGAAGACACGCATGCTGGTTGGCAAAGAACAGAGTTTGACTGGGAATGGTTCCAGGGAAGGGGCGTGCAGGAGCACAGGATGGTACCTCTTCAGAATTCGGGCAAGTCGACTCGGTTGAGTGCGAGGAGCTTGTCGCTGGTCGTGGACTTGACTATGAAGAAGGGAGTTGGCCATCCCTGCACAAACAGGTCGGGAGCTGGAGCCGTTCCCCTGACGAGGCCAAGGCAGGCCGAAACCAGTCAGCATGTATCCTTGGGAGGGCAGGTCGTGGTGGCTGACCAGGGCGCTTGCGCAAGCTGAAGCAACGCCTTGGTGCCGCACGAGCCGTGCCGCTGCGCCAAATCTCTAGGCCTGTGACAAATGGTATCAGAGTAGGACGTGGGGTAAAGCACGGTGGGGTGCCCCCTTGTCGGTCCGGGGGTCAGAGAATGAAAACGGTGCACTGAAGCTGCGTCGATGAGGAGGAATCAATGCAGTTGGAGGGGAGAGCCTCCATCTCCCCAGGAAGACGCGTCTGTTGAAGTTGCGCACTGGAGGGCCGAAGGGCCGCGAGCACCAAAGTTCGTGCTTAGTCCTTGGGTGATGCAAACCATAGTGAAGGGCGAGCATCAAGTCGGCAAAAGGCCCTTGCTTGCTCGGGATGTCGCGGAGGCGGCATGACGGAGAAGAGTCACGTCCTTGAGGAGTGGACGTCCCCTTGGTCCGAGGCCTATCATTGGGCGAGTGCAGTGCAGGGAGCTGCACAAGGACGCGATGGTGGGAAGGCGAGCATACCGCATGGAGGCAGACTTTGGAAGGGAGTGGACGCAGTAGTGAAGCGCCACACTGCGACGAGGGCGTCGCAGGATTTGGGTGGGGGAGAATGTCACGAAGTGATTCCTAAGACGCTTAGAGGATGGAAGACACGCATGCTGGTTGGCAAAGAGCAGAGTTTGACTGGAAATGGTTCCAGGGAAGGGGCGTGCAGGAGCACAGGATAGTACCTCTTCAGATTTCAGGCAAGTCGACTCGGTTGAGTGCGAGGAGCTTGTCGCTGGTCGTGGACTTGACTATGAAGAAGGGAGTTGGCCATCCTTGCACAAACTGGTCGGGAGCTGGAGCCGTTCCCCTGACGAGGCCAAGGCAGGCCGAAACCAGTCAGCATGTATCCTTGGGAGGGCAGGTCGTGGTGGCTGACCAGGGCGCTTGCGCGAACTGAAGCAACGCCTTAGTGCCGCATGGGCCGTGCCGCTGCGCCAAATCTCTAGGCCCGTGACATCGCGCTATCTATCAAAGTCTAAGGTTTCGATCCTCGAACTTAGGAAGCTCTGGACACACTACATAAATCAGCATAGAAGACCTATTCACCCCCCCTTCAGACCTTGTGCTATGTATCAGAGTCTAAGGTTTCGCTTTTCAAACTATTTAATCCCTTTTGGTTCTCTACTCTCCATTTCTTGTTTGGTTCAGTGGTCAAAGCTCGGACTCTCCAAGTGTGAAAATGCAGGTTCGAATCTTGAAAGCAGTCACTTTATGCAATTGTTGCTAAAGGTTAAGCATGTATCTGATTTAGCCCTTCAACAACCCTTCTGACCCTCAAGTTCTTGTTTGGTATATTTTTGTTTTTACTACATTATAGTTACAACTTCAAAATGAGGTTCTTTTGTTCTCCTATATATTCAAAGACAAATCATTTCTAGCGTGCTCAAAGCATGTACCTATTTTTCCATGATTAAAATAAGAAATCAAAATAAAACAAGAAGTTCTTAACACATACCCCCAACTAGCAATAGCCTTAGCAGTGTTCTCTGGTTCCATTGGATCAGGTGGTGCAGGGTTCCTGCTGGTTTTCACAGCACAAAATCTACAGCCACGGGTGCAAGTATCCCCAAGAAGCATGATTGTGGCAGTCGCAATACCATCCCCACCTCCATTCCAACACTACCCAAAACATTCCAAGTATAAATTGATTATTCTGTTATATACACTGAAATTCACACACACATACACACACATTTGGTAGAGAGTAAGGTACCTCTCCAATGTTGGGGCATTGGGCTTCCTCGCACACAGTATTGAGCTTCAAGTGGGACAAAGACTCCTTCACCTCCTGAAACCTCTCTCCTTGGGGTGCTCTCTGTCGCAGCCACTCCGGCTTCTTCACGTTCGGATCTCTGCCTGTGTATGGTCCCATTCCCATCCCATCCTTTGCCGGCGCAGCATTCCCAGCCACTGCCGCCGCTGCCGCAGTTGAAGACGACGACGACGATGATAATGTTTTGCTCGTATAATTTTTGGAAAACCCAATTGATTTCAATTCGAGCTCATTCTTTGAAGAAGAAGAAGAAGAAGAAGATGATGATGATGAATTAAGATATTTACACACAAAATTAGATCTCGAATGATGATTATAATCAATAGGTTTGGAAATTGGAGTCGAAGACGAGATTGCAAGAGAGGAAGAAAGAGAGTGATGAATCATTTTCAAATTCTTTCCTCTTAAAAGAAAAGTTGATTCAATCAATCTGAAAACTTGGGTTCTTCTTCCTCTCTTACAATCAAAAGTTGTTAGGGTTTTAAATATTAAATCAAGTGGCCTTCTCTATTTACATCTTCATTGAAATCTCCGTCCAAAGCAGACCTGTTGGGTTGGTTCATTTCATTTGTTTTGTTGATTACTCTAGTTGCTCGTCACGATGCCCTGTTTGGACTCTACCAAAGTCCCAACCAAGGAAGGATTAGCCTTGTTGGCAGTGGCTGGTAGGTAAAGTTCGTTTACCCAGCTAGGCATCACATTCGGATTGTTTGTAGTTATTTATTTATTTATTATTTTTAACTCTAATAAATAGTGTTTAATACTCGTACACAATTAGTTACCAGGTGAATGCCATCATAGCCCAAACAGTCATCTCAATTATCCTTGGAGTATCTCCAACGGGCCATTCGAATATGTGACATCCGAATTTTTCAATAGTTACGCATTTTTCATAGTCACGTCAGTATTTTAAAATCTTCAAATTTTAGCTATTTTAGAATTTCTAATGGTAAATTTTCACTCTCCAAAAAAATTAATATTTTAATATTTTTAAAATAAAAAAAAAATTTAATTTTTTCCTAACAGCTATATTTTTCATCTTATATAAATAACCATTTGTTCATCTCATCATTATTACATTCATCTCAACTTATTCTAGCAAAATATCAATTCACATCTCCTTTAATCTCGAAATTCCAATGGCTTCCTCGTCACGATTTTTTCCTTTGTCAGGCTATAATTTATCATCTTCTTCATTATCCTCTTCAACAGATAACCTTATTGATGCAATGATTAAACATAGTTAAGACCCTTTTTGTTCGATTTTGAATTCAGTTAACCCAGAGATAGTAGAGTAAGTTTTAAAACCGCATAAGAGGCGATACATTCATCGTGATCGAGAGGGAAGCCACCATCAACTAATGAAAGACTACTTTGGCGAGAATTGCACATATCCACCGGAGTACTTTCACAGACGATTCAGGATGCGACGAAAACTATTTCTTCATATCCTGAATGATGTTAAAACTTATGACGACTACTTCATCCAAAAAAGGGATGTAACAGGTTGTTTGGGGTTGTCTTTTATATAAAAGATGACAACTACAATACATATACTCACATATGGTTGTACAGCTGATCATTGTGACGAGTATATTAAAATCGGCGAGAGCACTGCCATTGAAACCCTAATGACATTTTGTAAGGTTGTTATTGGTGTGTATGGGGAAGAGTACATGCACCCACCCAACGAAGCCGACATAGCACGACTACTTCAAAAAAGGGAGGAGAGAGGATTCCCGGGTTTGCTTGGTTCTATCGACTATATGCACTGGGAGTGGAAGAATTGTCCAGTGGCATGGCATAACACGCACAAAGGACGCCCTTATATGCCTACGCTCATATTGGAGGCGGTTGTCCCAAAAGATTTGTGAATCTGGCATGCATTCTTTGGAATGCCTGGTCCACACAATTATATTAATGTGTTATATCATTCTCCGGTATTCAACAGATTCGTTACTGGCCAAATTCCTCCGGTTAATTTCGTTGTGAATGGCCATTACCATAGAATGGGGTATTATCTATCTGATGGTATATACCATAAGTGAGCAATTTTGATGTAGACCATCCCGCACCCAATTACATCAAAAGAAAAACTTTTTGCTCAGAGACAAGAGACCTGTAGGAAAGATGTGGAACGAGCTTTTGGGGTCTTGTAGATCAAGTGGGCAATAAAGCAATGACCAGTGCGTTTTTTGGGATAAATGAGACTTGTGCCTTATAATGAAAACGTGCATCATCCTTCACAACATGATCATTGAAGATGAGCGCCATGCCAATGTTGGAAGATGGACTCCGCCACCGGAGGAGACCATCTCGATTCCACTTTAATTCAAAATCCATCAATCTTAGTTTCACACATCTACTCTCGCCAAGTCCAAATTCGCAACAAAGAGATAAATATGCGTTGAGAAAAGATTTAATTGAAAATTTGTCGAACCACTTTGGTGAAGAAAGTGTTCAATTTATGTTGCATTATTTTATTTTTAAATTGTTATGAAGTTTATGTAATGGAATATTTATTGTGTAATGTTTTATTTTGAAATAAATAATTAAATTGTTTTTTGATTAAATTATTTAGCCAATATGTATGAAATCTTGTAAACAATACAATATCTAATTTATTAATTTATAGAGGTGAAAACAAAGACACATTTTTTTTAATAAAACAAATCATATTTTAAAATAAATTAATTTCAATTTGTTAGGGAAATTTAAAAAAATTTCTTTGGTTAGCCAATATAGTCGTTAAAGCATTGTTTGGCAGCCAAACAGTATCTAAAATGGCTATAATGTCAATAGGAACATTGAAAATTTTGAAAAGAAAATAAAATCATTTTTTTTCAATTTTTTTAAACATTTTTTTTTTGTCCAAAAAAGTCTTAAGGCACTATTTGTGTCAGCCAAATAGTGCCTTAACGATTATTTGGTTCAATTATTTTGAGGAGAAAAAGAAAAAGAAAAAGGAGAGACCAAAATAAACCAAAATTTTGATTTTTAGCTTTTATTTCAGCCAAACATGGCCTTTCAAACAGTGTTCTGGGCCAAAATTAAAAAAGAAAAGAAAACATAGGTGGGTCCGCATGGCAGGCATGCACTCGCTAAGAGGGTTGCTGAAAATGGCGACCCATTCCACGATCTGCATGACGTGGCCCAAATTTAATGACCCACAATGGAGCAAATTGGGTCGCCAAAATGAGACTAAATCGCCGAATTGGGCTGTGTTGGAGTTGCTCTTGAAAGCCTCGCGTTCACACCCGCTTTGTTAATCTCTAAAATTTTTGCCATGAAAAAAAATAATAATAATAATTAGTACTAGTCCAACCGGAGGCTAAATATTCAGTATTTTTTATTAAAAAAAAAATTAACTCTTACACAATAATCTATAGGTTGGAGCATTTTCCTTTTAAAAGTACTAACTAATGTTATATAAATGTATATAAACTTTAAACTTGTATATATTATTTTTAACAACATAAAAAGATTACTCATATTTTATAATGTTCACTAACTTTTTAATTGTCTATTAACTCTTTAATTATTTTTTATAATAATTTTAAAAAATTAATTAATTTTATTGCAATGTTTATTAGTTTAAATGAATGTGTGTATAATATATATGTAATTGATACCAACCCAAAAGTAATATATATATATATATATATATATATATATATATATATATATATATAGCAATTTGCAACACATATTTCATTGTCTATTCTTATACACAGCTATAGCTCTCGAAAAAGGTAAAAATGAGTGGATTGAGTTAAATTGGAAAAATTGTCTATTCTTATACACAGCTATACCTCTTGAAAAAGATAAAAATGAGTGGATTGAGTTAGATTGAAAAAAAAAATAGGTAACTCCATTCAAATTGTCTTAGTAAATACTATCTAATTATTTTTTTAATTTTCTAACATATTTTTTTTATAATAAAAATTAGATAGGTTTGGTTGGAAACTAAAATTTCATATTATAAAATATATATATATATATATATATATATATATATATTTTTATATATATATATATATATTTAGCATAGTTACAGTTCAAATAGAAATAGAGGTGACACTTGAGCAGCTTTACCCGAGCAATCCGAAACCAACCCAAAATTTTAGTGAGCTTGATTTTGAGATTAGAGAAAATTTTAAACTAAAATTTTTTCAATCACAAATTCAAAGCACTGATTCAATGTTTCCAAAACATGCTCTTAGTTTTGATGTTTTGATTATAGTTCAAATAGAAATAGAGGTGACACTTGAGCAGCCTTATCCGAGCAAATTCCAATTTGGATTATAGTGACATATGTTCCTGATGTTTCTGAAATATTTATACTTTATACAATTGGTGAATTCAATGTATTATGTTTCGATTCATTATAGAATTGATAGTGTTCACTTGATTACAAGAAATATTTATATATGTATGTGATGGCGATCAATACATGAATATAAATAGTAATCATAAATTTGTCATAGTCAGTAATTATGGATGGACTCATAATTAATTAAGACTTGAACTGGATCCGCGTTAGGTTGAGATATATTGCGAGAGCCGTCGTATGCAAGCTCACTATCACCGTCATGGCATTTGACTCTTAAGCATGAGAAAAGTATAGACTCTTTTATTAATTAATAATTACTTTGATTTGTTCGGCGGATTATTTGGGATCCTTAGACCGACACTTTGGGTAATTATGTAATTAATAGTTAGAGGGTTATATTTTCAATATTTGCATCATTACTACTTGTATTTATTTTGTATTAATTATGGTTGATCACAAAGTAAATTCGAAGGCCTTCTTGTGTTTTTAGACAAAATGATTTATTATATATTTATTTATTTAAATTATTATTTTTGTCAAACAAATGTTTTATTGTGATCGAGCCAGAAATAATCAATGGTACCAAAATAAATATATTAATTAAGTAGTCGGATTGATAGTTTTATTTATCCCATAACTAATTATGCATAGAGGGGTCAAAGTGCAATATTGACTTAGAGGTTATTTATTATTTAATTGGAGTTCAATTAATTTCTTTTAGTGGAGTAGAAATTAATTTATGATTTAATTGAATTAGGTCCATGGATCGGGCCAATTATTAATTCATTATAGCCAATAAAATAATAAACCCAAATGATTCTCACTCATAGCCTAACTTGATATTGGAATCCTATTAGATTTGAGACATGTGAATTAGAGATTGGGAAGGATTTGTTGTTTCCTTTTCTTTATCTTTATGTTGCCTATAAATATACATGATTTATGTATATTTTAGTAGTGATTTTTATGAGAAGGAAAAAGGAATATATTTTCTCTCTAAAAAATTAGGGTTTATATTCTCATCTTATGGAGGCTCTCACAAGCCTAGTTTTCCAAGGTCATTCATGGAGGCTTATGAGTGATTCCTAAAGGCCAAACAATTACCAAGAAGATGGAGATCCAAGGAGAAGGCATCTTGCTAAGGGATCTACAATAAGTGAGAACATTCACTTTAGAGGAAAGAATTAAAGATTTACTCAGACATTTGATGTAAGTATTCAATCTGTTAATTGAATTATACATCATATTTTATTTTTGCATAAAACTTGTCTCTATGT